CAATAGGCAAAAACGACAAAATTTCATCTTCTTATTTTTTTTTTGTGTTTTGTTATAGACATTCGAATATATAAATAACATTTACAAACTAAGTATTATCTAAATTAAATTCTATTTATTGCAAAAGAAGCCGAGAGCACATATTACTATTAATATGAAAAGCTATTAGCGCACTCTATGTGGGATTAGAATGTGAAACATGAAATAATTATTGCTATTAATATTAATAGAAAGATGTGTTTAAAAAATTGGTTAAAAGCAATACTCTATATATATTCAATATTCTATTAGTTTTATGAGGCAAAAATTAAATTTACATGATCCAAAAAGTGTTTTTCCTAATGTATAAATTAATCGGTTTATACTATTAGTGTAATTTGCAAAAAAAAAAAAAAAAATTATAATAAATTTCATTTTATGTCTATCACAATTTATGATCGGGCATTGCTAAGAGACCTGTTAGGGTCTTAGGAGAACAATGTCTAAAGAGTTTATTCTATACTTTAATTTTTATTTTTAGTTCGTGTTTCATAAAAAATATATTATGTCTTCATTATTTTTTAACTAATGAGAGACAATCAATTTCATAGGTGTTGAAGTGTTGCTGTCTTCAGTTCACTAATTATTTTCATTTTCATAGATATTCTCTATTATCTGTGTTATGGATTTATTTATGTAAATGAAACAGATATAAATAGTAATATTTCGTGTTAAATTATGAATAACATAATATATGACATATTACCTTGAGAATAAATATAAAATTAATCATAAACATTTCTACTCTATAAAAATATTTTAATGATGAGTATACAAACAAGTAGAGCCCGTCGGATTAGATCCGAACTCGGATCTGAAAATTTTGCATCTAATGGGCTCAAGTCATCTGCGAAATGTGTAGTGCATGCGCTAGTCATCAAATACAAAAAGCCGGGAAAAAGTATCTCATATCTTCCGGGCCACTATTCAATTCCGATGAGAAAATTTTATTGAGAGTATCAAAGTACGATTCGACTGAGTCTGAGATTTTGTATCCAATGAACTCTATTGATAAGTTTCTAATTATTTTAAAATCGCAATTCATGTTAATTACAACTATTTTTTATATTTCATTTGTATTCTCTAGCTGTCTTCCCAATAATTGTTGATCCATTTGCATCAAATCCTATTCCCGTATCATTTCTTGATAAAGATCAACAAGCATGGACTGTTGAAGCTTATATAGAAGAACAATGTTTTATTATACGTTTATATTATTCTGATATATTTAAAATTCCAACTGATTATGTTCGTTCAATATGTTTTAATATAACTGTACGTAATCATCGTGATACAAAAATCACTACAAGTGTTTTTCCAAAACCTGTAACAAAATATTATTCACAAAAAGATCATGATGAAGGTTTAGAAATAAGTACAACATTAGATGTTGATGAAGTAAGTGTCTATAAAGACAAAATAATATTTTATTTGATTCTTTTTCTTTTATAGTTAACTCAACGTGGTTATTTAAATGAACAACAAAGTGTTACAATTGAAATAGAAATTTTCTTTTCTCATTTAATGTATTCACCTGAATATACACCATTAGATGATATTGTTCGTAAACAAAAACAACAAATTATGTATGTTCTTTTTGGTGTATATATGGATTATTTTAGGCAAAACGAGATATATAGCCACCTTTAATTTGACGCTGCTGCTCCATAAGAATTATTTTTCTAAATAAGTCTTTTTTTATCATAGATAAATGAAAAATTGTTCGCTCTTTCAGCTGATTATTAATTAAAAATGATTACTGAACACCTCTCTAATCATAAAAAAAAAAGAAAATCCCCAAAACTTCGGAATAGACTATACGACATGAACTACATTTATAGTGACATTGGTATCTAGAGTAATTTAACATACAAAAAATTAGCTCTATAAAAGTTCATTATTCTGAGATACACGTATTTTAATTTTGCAAAGTCACGTTCCTAATGAATGATTTTTGTTATTATATACATTTTTATGAAATAAAAAACTTATTTCATAATTTTAGGCGTGAATTACAAACAGCACAAAATGAGAATTTTCAATTAGAAAAAAAATTACATGAACTTCAAATGTCTATACAAAATCCGGCTATATCAAATCGTTTATCTGATGTGGCTAATGGACCACAAAGTGGTATAAGCGCACCAAATACACCAAATGTTGTTCGAAAATATTATGAAATGAAATATGGTGATAAAAGTTCAGCAGGTAATCCACCAATATCAATGTCTAATAATGCTGCAAGTTTTGATGGTGCACAATCCAATATGAATTCCCTACCTGTTCGTAATGGTGTTTTATCTGGCAAAGGATCATCAGTATCAACATCATCAATATCATCTGTTCCACAACCAAATGTAACAATGGGTGCGCGTAATACACCATTTAAATTTACAACTAAATTACCTGATTCAATACAAAATACAATAGCTAATACAAGTCAATCATTACAATCAAAATTCCCAACTAGTTTCCAAAAATTACAAGCAAGTGTAACACAAGGACCAACTATAAATATGCTTGCTAGTAAATTACAAAATGCGTTTTCATAAATATTATTATTATTTTTTTCGAGTATTTCATTTTTATTTCATGTTATTTGTGTATGTGTGATACCAAACAAATTTCAAAATTCTCCCATTTCTGTGATCCCTTGTATTTCTCTAATCAAATTTGAATGAGAAAGAAAAAAAAACGATAAGAAAATAAGATTACAATGGAATATGAAAAAAAAAAAAAAGAATTCATTCTTATAGAAATTATTAACATAATATTAATAATATTTTACATATAATGTAAATTAGATTTGTTTTGATGAATGATGACATTCTTTACTCATGAGTTGTTGAAGAAAGAGATTGAACATATTATTTGTTATATTTATTTTTAGCTCTTTTTATATTCCATTTGAAGTCACAAAACTATGTAGAATCATTCAACTTCACGAACTTATCAATTAAACATATTTTATCACATGAAAAAATTGATGTACAAAAACTAAATTAGATGATACGCACTGTTTTATTTGCGTGAAGAACAAGAGAGGTGGTGTCCTTCCAAAAGTTTGTGGCTGTTGTATCACTTACTCTGTGTCTATACTCCCAATAATAGATTTTCGCCTTCCGAGAGTTTTGAATCATCTTTTCGGAAGGAAAAAGCTAGATAATATACTGATAATAAGATACCTAGAGAAAACTTCAAAAGAAAAATTTTTGAAATAAAATTATACAAAACTTCTAATTATTTAATTATCAAATCCGAACTCAAATTTCATCTAATTAATATCCACACTAGAATGAAAGAGGAATGTGCGTGATCTAAAGAATTCGACAAAACAGTTACAGATAGTGATCTGTAATTTTCAACAATCAAAAGCAAAGAACTTCGGACGACTCTTTGCTTGAGACTATATAACACAAAAGTCTTTTAAAACCGATCATCTTCGCAAAACGATGCATGAAAATGGCATTCTGTTTCAGATAAATTTTAAGAAAAAGTCAAAAGCTTCACCAAAAATCAACAGTATTGTATATAATTTGACCGTCTATATATGTGATTTTGTTTGTTTGTCATTGACATATGAGAAGATAATTACCTGGGATTGTGCCTTGAACTATACATCTGAAGTACATGTGAAAATCGAAATAAAACATTGTTTTCATGCATCTTTTTGAATATTTTGCGAACATATCTTATATACTATCAAGCACAAAGGTGACAGCAATTCTTCTCTTTCAATTGTTGAAAATTGCCAATGTAGTTTACACCTATTCGTCTTTAAATCCGGCGCGAGCGGCATTATTTTCCTATGTTTTTGTGACTTTTAAGTCATCTAACTATTGTGATAGTATTTTATCAATATTTGCTTCACTGTATTAATATACAGATAAATCTGAGAGTTTACCATTCTTCTTTGATTGCATCAATCATTATTAGAAAAAAACAGAGCGAAGTTATAAGCTCAGTAATTATAAGATTAGACAACTATTTCTAGTGACATATCCGTATAAATGTTATAGCATAAAGTTTGTCGACTTGAAAGGTTACACTAACATAAGAAATATAAATTAATAAGAAAACACTATACAATTACATCTAGAAATCTATCAACGAAACTAACTATTTGTTCATTTATATTGTTCGTATAATCATTCTTAAAATTCATGTATTCATAAAAAAAACGAAACATAACTTTTATTCTTTACTTGTCAATTTCAATCTTCTTTATATGTCAAACAGAAAAACACATTACTTCTCAAGGTTATCTTATGTCAATTTCTTTTATGAAAAAATATACTTCTCATTTACGTATACATAATTTATCAAATATAGTAATCTTAAAAGAAAAACATTTTTCATTAAATCAACAATCATAAGTTTTTTCGTGTACTTAATCCGATATGAAAACATCTCAGATAATTACTTTCACATTGCGACATGTATGAAAATAGTAGCATACATAACATCACATCCGGAAGAAAATTCCAGAAAAATTATTTATGATGCAAATTTTTTTAAAATGATGTAACCTAATCAAAAAAATTTCATAATTTGTATTTTTCTTGAGTAATTAATTTTAAAAGAAATAATTTGAGATTTTCTATAAAATTAATGAGTTCATATAATGATTATATTTATTGAATGTCCATCAGAAAATACGATAAATTTATTCGTATATTCTTATTTAAAAAAATACAAAACAAAAAAAAAATCAAGTTTTCACAATGCTGGAGAACAAGATATACTGTACAAAATCGAATACAAAAAATTGCCTAAACAATATTTATGGAAGAAAGTATTAAAAACAACAAACAAATATTCACCTAAATTAATTGGTTAGGACATTAACATTTGTATTATCCTATTTATATATTTGTTGATTTTATCCATTATACCTGATTAAGTACTGTATTATTTATTGTGGACGGTTCAGTTGTATGAGTATTTTTCTTATCAATAGGTGTTATACTTTTTGTTCGTTTTACTTTTGTTTTAACTGAAGTTGTCGTGTTAATGGGTGCTGATGCTTCTTCGTCATCTGCTTCATGTTCTATGATTGACTGACGTCTATCATTTTTGTCTGTTTCATGATCAGTTAATTTTTTATTAGTACGAGATTCAATTATACTGTCACTATCATGATCATCATCATTTGGTGTTAATGGTAAAGATTTTGTTAATTTATTTTCAATACCATAAGCTTTTGCCCAAAAAAGAAGATCATCAAATGAATTTTGTTGTGTTGTTATTTTCGTTGTTAAGCCATCAAATATTTGATTTAATTCACTTGAATATTTTGGTGTATACATAACTTGAATAAAATCTAATAATGTTTCACGAATATGATCTAAACGTTCTTCTTCAACAGTTTGACATTGTTTAAAAATTTCAGTTGCTTTTTTACGATAAGTTTTTTGCGCAACTCTATATGTAGCTTTTGTGTCAACAAGTTTTTCTTCGATGTCCTCTAATATAGCTCGTTTTTTATTTTGCACTTCATTTGCACGTGCTAATTGTTTTTCCGTTGTTGATGGATCTAACTGAATAATTTCGCATGCACTTTCAGCTGTACGTAAAGCTTCACGAGCTTTTTTTTCTGATGTACGTAATGTTGCAAGTTGATCGGCTACTTCCCTTAAAGATGCATGTGCAGTTTTAAATAATTTTTTAAATTCATTTGTTCGACGGTGTTTACGACCAGGACGAAAACGTTCATTTATATATATTTCATTAACATAATTACGATATTTATCAATAACTTTTTGTATTTCATTACAATTCGATTCTTTTAATTGAGCAAGGTGTTTAGGTATACGAACAACATCGAGTTGAGCACGTTTTGTTGTATGATACGATACTAGTGATGATTGTTGTTTTATTCGTGCAATCCATTTTTCAGCAAAGTCAATGAAACTACGAGCTTGTTCACGTTCGTTATCACAATATTCTTGCATCCAGTCAATGAAATCTATGGACATTTGGTATCCTTGAAAAGAAAGAAGAAACAAAGATTATACGAAAGTGAATAGACAAAAAAAAATTAAGATAAGAAATCAATCAAACAATAAAAAGAAAAAATCCCTACCACCATCAAGACGTTCGAGAGCTGCTCGATAATTTTCGTCTTCAAAAAAGTTCTTTCCAGCATATTGATTTAATGAGTAATGGTCATTATTCGTAGCACCAGGTCGATTAGCAGCAAGTGTTTCTCGAAATCCAATGCAGGCACCCATAGTCATCGGAGTTGTGCCACGCATGATAACTGTTTTGCAAAAAATCAAGACCAATTTTTATGTAAGTTAATAATCTGGAATGAAGTCGATTTGACGGACAAAAATGAATAAGTTCTCAATGAAAAGAGCAATGTTAACAGAATGAATAACACAAAAAGTTCCGGTATGCATAGATATGTTTTTTCTTCCATCTAACGAGTGGGGAGAAATTGAGTAAAGAGCGGAAGAAACGAAAGGCTAAAACGGCAGAAAGTGGCGATGACTCACAAAAGCAATGCTGTTGTCTGATGGATCAGACCAAGGATGAGAACAGGAAGAAACACAAAAAAAAAGAAGAAACCTAGAAATACTCTATCTATTGTTAGTAAATAAAAGAACTCATTGAATACTTTTATTCTCTCACAATCTACATTCTTATCATTCTATATCTCTGAAATGATATTTCTTCTATAATGTATGTAATTGCACAATGATACACTTACCTTTAAAGTCCATTAAATTAAAGAACTTAATATAAAAACAAACAAGAAGCTCCTTTTGTTGGAAACGAAAAAAAACGTCGATTTCTGATGCAAATTTTCGGCATGACTGTCAGTTATTAATATATACTCGTGGGAAGGTGATAAAAAAACAGGCTAACTGATGAATCATCGCGTCTATTAAGACAAATATCGCGTTATTTGATAAAGAAATGTATATAATTATGTCGCCTACATCTCTCTATATACGTACATAAAAATGATTCATGATTTTGGTCTATTCAAAAAAAAAACCTTTTATGACTTTTAAAGAGCTATCGATTTATCTGATTAGCTCTCCTTAATAACTTACTAGATTATTACTCTAACAAAAAAGGATATAAATGAAATAAAGTGCCAAAAAAAAAAAGAAAACTCTACTGTGTCTTTTTTTTTCTCTTGTTTGTAAAGTGAAGAAACTCAATAAGAATACAATAGACATGTGCATACTTGTCAAAACTTCTTGATTTGATTTTACATGTGTATTCACAAAGAACGATTTTTGGTTTAATGGTACCTTGAAATTCAATTTATTTCAGTCGTTTGTTTGTTCTCTTCTTGGATAAAAATTAACATATTGCGAAAAAATAAAAAAGGATTCTTTTTTTTTTTTCTTACCTTAGATATTTTAATAAGACGAAAATTCGTCGATAGGTTTTTTCCTTTACTCACTTGAAGAATTTTCGTTTTAATAAAAAAAACAAAAAAAAAGCCTAATCAATACAATCCAATTCATGAATTTATTGTCCTTATTTATTAGAAAAAAGAGAAAAAGAAGAAAAAAGTCACGTAAATTTCAAT